TTATTGAAATTTGTCCACTTATTTTTTAATTTTATTGAAATTTATAATTATCGAGACAAAGACACTAATCTTACCATTACCATGTACCTAACTTTTTCTTCTTCCCAGAAAGGGTTTTCTCGGAAGAAGAAATCTTGTGCCGCCGACAATGCCAGCAAACAACAGCTACATTACTGATGTGATGGCAACCATTTCAAGATAATAACTCAACAAACGAATCTCTTCAACTCTCCATAGAAAATAAACTCCTCATAAACAAGTTAAATGTTTAATCTGGAAAAACCAAAACGTACCAGTAAGCGACTGACGGAGAGATCGGCGAGAGGAAAGAGAAAACTTTCGACCACCGCAGGAAATGTAGAGTCTCGAGAGGAAGCCGATTGGGAGAGTTTGGGGAGAGGGAATATTGGCAAGGGGGAAGTGATCGACAGAGAAAATTATGGGGAGAGGAAAAGAGAGTTTGCAAGGGCAATGCTACTGGTTACGTTTACTTTATTTTCATTTATGAAAATTAAATGAGATTCAGATGTGGTGCCAAATTAACCTCAATCCAACCACCACAATTCTTCCAAAATGTTATGTCATCAATATCTACCGTTCGAAAAGAAAATACAGCAACAACTAGAGAGAGAAATTTCTTAACCATGCCACCGAAATGTGAGACCCACATAGCAAATTTTTTTTCCCCATCGAAGTATAATACCTGTGACACATGCTAGATTGTTTCTACCTAACATTCTCCAACTCACTCACAAAGCACATCAACACCAATATATGGTATTTATTACTATTACTGTTGTAATTTTCTAGTTATTTTGCTCTTTCCATGCCACCAAAGTTGTATTCAGAATATTTGTGGACTGCAAAGGTTGTCTGTTCTAGTTATTAATCCACTTACAGCCTCTCCAATCTTCAATTTGGGCTACCTAACAGTCTTCTTTTTGTAAAAAAAAATCAAGAACAACCCAACATACTATAGGTGGACTTTAGGTTTGACCAAGAAAATGACATCTAGGGCCTCAGGCCCATACATAGAGTAGCCTTCTTTGCAGCATTCAATCATTATGAAGATAAAACGGAGGATCAAATCCAATGACTATTATAATATTATATTTAAAAATTCGACTATCCTAGGCTTAGTCTTGATAAAAAATCACTCAACCTCTCAACTTGATTCTAACTCAATTCGTAAAAATGAGTTAAAATATATATATATCAATTCATAACTTATAGATAACTCATATTATCACTTCATATGGATCACGGATCGAGTTAAGGGTTGACCCGTTTATTTTATTTTTTTCTTATTATTTTTAAATATTATGCTTATTATTCTTAATTAATTTTTTTATTGATAACTCCTATTAATTTATACTCCCTAATTTATAGAGAAAGAAGAAGAAATTATGATGAATTTGATTTAATTACCCAAGTATCATAAATGAAATGATAATGCAACTAAAAATATTAAAAGATGTAATGCTAAGACATAAACATAATAACTTAGTGAAAGATGTTTTTGGAAGAGCAATTTCATTATTAAAAAAATGACTTAAACTACTTAATAATGTTTTAAGATGATTATAAAATTAAAATTTTATTTGTCAA